TGTGCACTTTGCTGGGAGAACGAGCACCAGCATCGGAACACCATACGGACCTGCAGCTCGGGCAAGAACTCTGCTAAGACCTTGACTGCTAGTGGGAGTGAGCGCAACACAGAGCGCTCTTCCCAGATGCTGAGATCTGATCTTTGTGCTGCTTCCTTTCTCTTGGGAAAGTGAGTCGCGAGGGCTGAGTTCATTGCTTGATGGAGACTCTGCCAGGTTTGGGGATGATCCTGAAGGAGGGAGTCTACCTCCCTGGCAAATGCCTGTATTTTCGGGGAGCAGTGTCTGTAGCAGTCCTCCATTGCCTGCTGGTCATAGGGTTTTGAGGCTTGGGCGGAGTATCTCCTGCTGTGCCTCAGTTTACCAAGAAGGGGGAAATGCCTAGTACCATCCCTCCAAAATGCAACTGGGAAGGTCCTTAGTGGCCGGCAAAACCTGGCGGGGCCTTGGGACTGTGCAATCCTGACAAACGAGAAGTCAATCTGTGAAACAGAGTTGCCTTGTTCGTGGGTGGCTGGTCTATGCACTCCCCAAGTGTTGGTTGCGACTAGCTGGTGCTCCGACAGTAGGGTCTGGAGATCCTTAGATCCGCGATGCCCGAGTCTGCAAGCCTGGATCGTGCATGGCCCTACGTGTTTGTTGTCGGTTTTGAGCGAGGAGTTAAAATCTCCTAGCACAAGGAGAGTGTTGCGATTGGGAACAGCTCGGATGGACTTACTTAGGGCGTGAAGGGTCTGCTTCCGGGTTTCCTTATTCTGAGCGACTGTCTCCTTAGAGCGCCAAACGTATTGATAGCAGCTGAAGACGTCCAGTGAGATGCCGTTGCTCGGCACCCGGACCTGGAGAACTCTTCCTGGAACAACCTCGTTGTAGCGAAGATCCTGTGACTTGCACAGCGTGGAGTGCACCATTATGAGGACCCCTGCTCCCTTCTCCCCTGTGGAACCAGAGCTGATCACGTGCCAGCCTGACTTGCTGAATTGCCATGAGCCCCTCCAGTGTGTTTCCTGAATTGCTACCAGCTTCACATCCTGAAATGCGGCACTTTGCAGTACGGAGAGTAACTCTTCCCAAACTGCTGTTGTGAGAGATCCTGCGTTCCAGGATAGATAGCTGAGATTCTTATCTTCTGTAAATTTCGAAGGCCGAGTCCTTCTGCCGGGATTGGTGGGCTTTACATGTGCCGGAGCAACTCCAAGCTCTGTTGACGACATCGTCCTTCCCTTGTAGACCGCACTACCTTCAAGCAGAGCTTTACGTGCTGCCCTTTGATAAGAGCGTTTACCCTTCCCTTTAGGAACGGGCTGATGCTTGGTCGAACCACTAGGCTGTTTCGCAGCACTCATGTTGAGTACTGCTCCTGTCGGCTTCGCAATACCGACAACCCTCACCTCTGGGAGATGTTAGAGATCTGTAAATCTAATACTCCCTCCCGGACTTGGGACCGGGACTGCTCAGGCGCTGACAAATGCCATGGCAAGAAAGGAAAAAGGCAACTGTACTAGCCTGACCTTTCCTGAGCCGAGAGGCTTATCACCATCATCATCATCATCAACAACAACATCAACAACAACAACATCATCACGGCCACCACAAACATCAGCAGCATTAACAACTCATAACGTCATCCTTCTCCTCACCATCGCTTCGCCACCTCTGGGTCGTCACGTTCGCCATCGATGTCGTGCTTAGGTATTGCTCTGCACTACCACCTCCTCAGCCCTCTTCATGCTTCGGAATCTTCGTTCCCATTTTCATCCGCGGCGTGTCCGCCAACATGCATCATGGCCAGGAAGCCAGCGTTCATGCGAGTCTGCCGCTTCATGAGGTGGGTCATTCGCTCGTCCTCCGGAGTTGGCAGACTGCACGGGAAAAACAGCAATCGTATCCACCTGTCTATAGGTTTTGTCTTAATAACGGTCCAGTCATACCCTAAAACCCTGGTCTGATTAGCAGGCTCTGAGGCCTTTCTAAGGCTTGGGACAACACCTGGCCGGCATCCACGCCCTTTAGGGATGAAGCCACAGCTTTTGTTTGCATCCTAAGCTCTAACCGCGAAAGCTCTCCCGACCCCGTAACAAGGCCCAACCTCTGAGAATTTAAGCTGTTTGCGACTTCCAGACGAGGATCCAACTTTGCCACACCCCTGTAATCCAACAGCAGATATGCAATCCACCCGGACGCTTGCTTCCAAACCGAGATGGACACTTCGCGGCCAAGCGATCATTTCTTTAAATAAGGAGTGGAAACTCGACAAAGTGTGGCAACACAACGATTTGAATCTGAGGACACTAGAGGCCAAACCGCGGGCTCCCGCTTGCCTCCAAGCAGAAGGTCACGAACTCAGACCAGTCCAGCCAACAGTCTCCATTCCTGGCAGCCAGGGGCTTATGCTACAGGTGTTGTGAGCTTCTCCTAGGGCCTAAGGGATACGATATGGGGCGGATAACGTAGGCTTACTGGGTTGAAGGTTGAATGCTGCAAGAAAACCTGAAAGGATTCATGGCTGCTCATCCAATGTCTGCTTGCTCTAGCTTCTGGAATCTCCTATAGTCCACGATGAGGGCTGGAGCGAATGCAAGAAACCTTATCCCACAATGTAAAGCATCAAGCAGACATCTACAGAAGCAAATAGGAATCTCAAACGGGAAAGCCGGGCACGTCCATCCGGGAGAAGCAGCTCGCCTCAGAGTCTATCCGTTAGGGTTTCGGCCCTCTATCTCGGACACCTACTTGTCGGGTATCATGGGGAACTAAAGGTCAACCTTCTGGGTTATATAGGGATTATCTAGGGACTATGCTACCCAAAAAAAGGTTAAAGGTTACCTACTCTGCTACTAGGGACAAACCAGGCGAGGCGAGGTTCGTTGGCGCGCACTCGGTTGAGGTGAAACGGCCCAAGAGTGTTCAGCATGTCCGAAAACCATACTAAACCACCCTCGACATCCAAAGCAACTAAAGGGGCCTCACTGTAACAGAAAGGACTGTTTTGGCGTGTATAGATACCAGAAAGGATAAATAGGGGAATCGGTACAAGAGACATACACCCGTTACTGAGGCAGCTGGCCAGAAGTGGGAACTTTTTGTACACATCCGGCAAGCGCTGCTTGAACTTCCGGCCTGAACTGAACGGATACCACAGACGAGACTAAGAATGACCAAGGTGGACAAAGGCCATCAGAAGCATGCGGGTTCTGCTACATGATGTGCGGATTTGGCGACATGAGCGCTGGTGTTAAGACTGCACAAATGAAGAAATCTACATGCATACGAAGCACGCGAGCACCGTACTGGTGTAAAAGAACAAGCAAGCTTAAACCGGGGAAGTGAAAGAGGGAGATCGAAAGAGCGCACAGACGCACAGACAGACCCAGAGCCAGAGCGCGAGAGACAGTGACAGAGAATTGTCGTCAGCACACACATGCACAAACATATGTATGTGTGTATACCAAAGTCTCGATCTTGAAATGCAACTGTGCCGGGTGTTGCGGCGGCAGTGAACCTCCACCCTAAACCCTGAAGAATGCGCACGCCGAGTGCCGGGCTAGACACCCGCTCGCTATCCCTCTCCTCTGCCAGCCAGTCCTTACAATCGATGCTTTGTGGTGCTTGGGAGCATGTCGGTTCTCTACCCTGCTATATGAGTGCTCCGGCGTTCACAGTTAATCCGGGCTGCCGGTGACTTTCGCTGGTTCGAGATTTTGGCATCCACTCAGTCAGAGAACCCATTCACCTCCGGGTGCTGAGAGAGCATCCACACACCTACACCGCAGCTTAACTGCTTCTGCCTGTACTTGCCTCAGCAGCGGAGCCCAAGAATCTAAAGTTGAAAAAATCCCGAAGATGTCGATACCCTTAGGGTAGGCGGAAGACAAGAATCTATCAATGTCGGTTACAGAATACTACGTGTGCCCGGTAAGATCCAGCCGTAAGGGATCCTCATAAAAGTAAGATCTTACGCGAGACTATAGACGAGTGGGGCTCCGCATCACTCCCAAATGGGGGCCCTTTTTACAAATGGGGGGCCCTAAACCCAGAACCCTTCACCAAACCAGAACATAAGCCCCCTCGGCCCAAACAGGCCGAAACCGCCGAAGGTGACCTGGCAAGAAAGGGATCTAGGCCCCGGCAAAGACGATCCGCAAGTCTTTCAAAAGCTCCTGAGCTGCTAGGGATTTATAGATGTAGGATTTCGGCACTCGCACTCGGACAACCCAGGCGAGCTCCAGGGTTTAAAGTTCTTGCCCAGTTTAGAGCGCTGGGGTTGTAGATGTTAGGTATAAACTGTAGGCTAGCATCCACATACGTGGCTGCACCTTGCAACACGACCAGTGACTCTAATGAAGCAGGGTCTGTCTGCAAACCTCAAGCACTCGACGTAATCTCGCAACGGGCGTGGCTGAACTGACGTCCCATATCCAAGCCGAGCACATTGGTCTCTCCGAACTGCTTGACTTCTGCCTGGCCGCGGAGTCCATTCCTAGATGTTTCGCGGGGCCATGGAAACTTGGTACCCAATCCCGGGAACTTAACTGGACCTTCCCCTCCTGAAATCTGAGAGCCTTTAGATTCTTCCACTCGCGTCGCTACACCCAGACCTTGTGGGCCGCCGCCGCAGAGTCTCGCAGTGTGAGGATATAGTCATATTTGCTCATCTCCGCCTGGCATGTCACCAGCGATGCTTCTTCGAAGCCGGGATCCATGTGTTGCATCGGGGTTTGCAGGGCCCCTGAGTGGCAGGGAAAGCTGCAGCTTGGGTTTCGGATCTGCGGCTCTACAGGCAAAGTGGAACGATAGGCGCAAAAGTCAACCGCTCTTAGCCAAAATCCAAGAGCTGACGGACCCCAGGGCTCCACGACCAACAGCGAGGTCGTACAAACTATGATAGGGCTAGCGGCCAGGGATTTAAGGGGTATTTCATATTATCCTCACACCGGGACACAATAAGGGGATACCCAGTACTGAGTATGGAGGTCTTTTTGTCAGGCAGGCACAGGATGTCATGTGCTGATGGTCGTGGCACACATGATGATTCGTGCGGCATCACCGAAGTAACGGCAAAGCTCCAGAAGTTGAACAGTTGCCTGGTATGTCACATTACCGGGCTCCGGTGCCCCGGAGAAGCCTTCGGCCACAAGGCGGACAGTCTGATCGAACCAAACGGAGGGCGGGACATCGCTCATCAAGGCCTCACGCGCGATGGATTCGAAGAGCGCCGCAAGCCTCGCAGGACGCTCCCGCGAACTGTCGCTGGAAACCGGTCGCAGCGCCGCCTCGGCTACCGCCCTGGTCTCGGCACGAGGCTGCAGTTGGCGCACGCCCCGCGTCTGCGCGATCGCACGCTGCAAAGCAGGAGCGGTTTCCGTGGACGCAGAAGCATGGAGCAGGAGCTCTTCAACAGCATCGACGAGCACCGTGTACTCTCCATCACCCATGCCCATAACTTTCAGCCCCAGAATGGACTCCACAATCTCGGCCGCACGGGAGAGCACGCCGGGACGGCGTGGCGTCTGCTGTGCCAGGGGCAAGTTTTTCAACACCGTCTCGAAGCATTTCACAGCCTTGAGGATGAGCCCCTGGAGCATGGGCGGATCGATCTCCGCCTGCTCCTTGTCATGAAGCTCCAGGAGGCGCCTACAAAGGTTCTCGTAGATTTGGGATAGAAGCATCAAGGCTTCGAAGGATGTTGTGCTGAGTTGAGGCCCGTCGCCACTGCGACTGGAACCCACCTCAATCGGTATCAAAAGCTTCACGGCATCTTCCGCGAAGCCTTTGGCTCCCGAGAGATCCCCTTTCCAGTACAGGACCTGTGCAAGTTCGAAGGCCAACCGGCCAGTTGTCCTTTGGTCACTGGCAACCTGGGCAACGGAATAGGCCTCCTGGAACGCTGCGGTGGCTTTGTCCCAATCCTCCCGGCGCGACCAGGCATCCCCGAGCCGTGCTCTCAGAGCAACGGAGGCAGGGTGCGCCCGACCAAAGGCACGCTCGGCGAGATTACAGCACTTCTCCGTGTGCAGCGCAGCTGCGGACCAGTTTCCCTGCTGAGCATAGAGCCTCGCAGCTGTTCCTTCTAAGCGAAGCATTAACACGGGCTGATCCGGTGAAAGCCTCTCCCATTCCATCTGGAGCCTCTGCAAGCGGGCATGCGCTTCGACGTGTTTGTCCAACAGCCACTCAGCTTCGAAAGCAGCGAGCTGCGCCCACCACGCGGAGAGCAAACTGGGCAACATTTGCGTCGCGGAGTCTGCAGCCCACAAGGCTTGCTTCAAGCGTGTTTTGTCGACGGTCGGCCCGGTCTTCATCATCACCTTGGGTCGTGCACAAGCCATGCTATGGACCCCTAACCCGCAAGTAACACGTGTAGTAAGCATGCAGAACAGGCTTGGGTCTTTGTGAAGTTGGCGCAGTAGTGCTCTGCAGCAGCAGGAGGAGGAGTTGTGCTACTACTGCTACGACTACGACTACTCAGTAGTCACTACTGGTACTAGCACCCGAGCTGGAACCAGTAGTAGTACTGGAAGTACTAATAGCAGCAACGGTAATAATTGTTGATATGCGGGTGTCTGTAGTAGTGGTAGCGGTCCTCGTAGCAGGCAGTGGTAATGTCAGTGGCCGAGGTCGTACTGTTGGTGGTTTTTGTACTGGTGGTGGCAGTAGTTGTAGTTGTAGAAGCACAGCAGGAGCAGAGCAATCGCAGTAGCAGTGGCAGTTGCAGTAGGAATAGGACAGGACCAGGAGCAGCAGCAGGAGGAGCGGGAGCAGGAATACCAGTTATCATGCTAATACATCACGGAAACTTTCCAAACCGTAGCGGACCTCATTAGTTCATGTTGCTGCTCATCGTCTGACGAGCAAAACGACACAAGGGGCATCTCAAACTGAACTACAAAGAACCCCCACCACAATTATTCAACCTCACCTCAGCTGCCATCTCATCAACGCTGTCGGGATCTTCCACGGGCTTAGAAGCCTTCTTCGCCATCTCAAGCAGCGCCACTGCGATGCCCTGAAGAATTGCGCCAGTGGCAGCCGGGGCTTCGCCCAGCGCTCGCGAGAAGGTGAGCTGCAGCTTTAGCACCTGAAAGACGCGATCCCATCGACCATCGCGCGTATGTCGTGTGGGTGCCGACACAGCTGCAGACCACTCCTCCCCTCGAGCGCAGATGATGCGGACGTCGGGCAAAAAGCCACAGAAAGAGGGCTCCTTTATCAGGTGATCACGGAGGCGGCGAGTTTCCTCATCCACTGCATGGTATTGCTGCAGGCGCTGCTGCCAAAGGTCCTTGACTGCTGCGAAGTGTGGAAAGTGAGGTTGCAAAGCTTCCGACTCGAACGAGACGAGATCTGCCTCGTTGAACGGCTCCGGGTATCCAGGTGAATTCAGGTGAGCGCGGTGTGCAGAGGACGCAAACTTCACCCGGCAGTGATGCTCCATGGCTCGGAACAGCGCGTGGAGCTTTACTCTGTGTCTCGACAGGGACGCACTTTCAAATCCGAAGCGGCGGGTAGTTTCTGGCACCAGCTCTCGGTCCCAGAACTCGACGGTCTCCGCGCCCGAGCCCAAGGCTTGGTTGAAGAGCTTTACCGCTTCCATCGTGGCCACACGCTCCGGGCCGACGTGCACCTCCTGGGAGCGCTGTGGTGCCACCGGCGCCCAGGGCTTCTTCTCCCAGAGTCGCCTGCGAAGCACCCACTTCGCACTCCTGGCCAGAGCCTCGCGATGCAAAGCCGCCGCCGAGGATGTACTGGCCAGCGCAGCCACTCGAGACATGTGGCGAATATTCACGCCGGATGCGTGCAAGATATCGGTCCAGCCTTGGCTGTCCAAGGGCGGTCCCTCGGAACTGATCCTCTCCAAGAGCTGTTGCGGCAGCTCCAGCTCAGCCCGGGAAGTCAGCTCCTTCAGGGCTTGGCTCCCACCAGCTTGCCCAGAATTCGCGGCCGCCGTGACTGCATGCGTGGGCGGAATCGATGGAACACCAAGAGACCAGAGCGCCTCACGGCGAAGTCGCTTCACCGGATCCACGATGCGGGAGATGCTTGGGTCGGTGTCTGGCAGGATCTCCGGAGGCATCAGCTCTGCTGGGCTCCGGAAATGGAGCTCCTCTGCTTCCTGAACCTCGACCTCGTCCCTCTCACTCTCTGACACGTGCTTGCAGCGGAGTCTCAGCAAGGCTGTGCTTGCTAAGGACTTTGGAAGATCGCTCATCAAGCAGACCGGATACCCCTGTAGGCCGAGCATCCCTGCAATCTGGCCCAGATCACTGCGGAGCTGTGGATGCCGGCGGTCCCATTCGTGCAGAACAAGACTGGCGAACTGGCTCTGGCTGCGGAGCTGCAGCTGCTGCCGCCATATGCTCTCCGCAGAATCGCCAGGATAGGCCGTCGGATTGATGGTCTCCTCCTTCTGGGCAGCAGCAGCGGCGTTGCTGGCCTCCCGCCAAAGCTCTGGCAGGTCCCCAGGTGCTCCATAGGCCACCTCTGCCTCTGCAAGAGGCCCCAGGACAAGTTCAGCAGGAGGATCGCCCAATGCAACAACCTTCGGTCTACAAACGACTCGAAAGCCTAAGTAGTCCACGAGCACGGCCACAGGCAACGAAAAGGGTGACTCGCAGCCACTGGTAGCCATAGCGTCTGCAAGCGCCTGGAGTCCTTTCAGGTCGTGCTGATACAAACGCCACGCGAACTCTTGAGATCGCTCATGGGTGGATCCCCCGACAACGGTGAGGACCATAGAGTCATGCACAAAGACACGGTCGCCGTCGAAGCGCGGGCGCAAGAGAGGCCAAAGCACATCATCTTTTGAGATCAGCCGTGGCACGGTTTGTCCCTCTTCCTGTGGTAAGTGATGCCTCCGGTGCTTCTCCGTGTCCATACCGTATGGATGCAACATCACCTCGTGGATCACCAGCACTGCTGCAGCGCGAGCTGCTGCCGCAAAGCGGCCAACCTCGCTCACGTAGCCCAGTGCCGTGGTCGCCCGCTTCTTGGTCAAGTCATCATCCGGGACTGTGGCCTCTTCCGAACTGCCAACCTCAGCTGCTCCGGCCCTGCCTTCCAGTGCCAGCTGTAGGCTCTGATGCCAAGCCGTGGCAGGGTCTCGACCCGGCTGAGCACCGACCGGTATCTGCCGCTTGTCACCTGGATGAGGTGGCAGCTGCACCGGCGAGGGTCCACGACGGCCCAGCAGGAACCAGCGATAGTTCTTCAGTCGCACGTAGCGCTGCAGCACCAGAGCAGCCCGCACCATTTCAGGGTCGCCTTGAGCACCGCCGGCTACTTTGGACTCTTCGATGCGTCTCCCCCGAAAATCCTCCCGGTGCTGGCTCTGTGGGAGTGGTGCCATGGAGGCATCAGCTTTCGGCTGGGGAGTTTCGGCGCTCTTGTCCTCTTGGCCCTCTGTGTTCACATGCAGCTCTGTGGATTGCGGCACCTGCGTCGGTGGTGAAGAAGGGCCTTCCAAGGAGCCGCGCTGCGAACCCAACTCCTTGACTTGCTCCACTCGCGTCCTCTGCGCACTCTCTTCCTGCAGAGACGATGAGGCCTCGTTGGCCAAGCCACGCCCAACCAAACGTGCCACGAGTGTAGATTCCGCACTCTGCGCAGGAGGCTGCTCAGATTCCGCACGCTTTGCCGGTGGCTGTTCAGATTCCGCACTCTGCTTCGGTGGCTGTTCGGCAGCTATCGAATCCAACTGTTGGGGCCGAGGCCTTGTAGCATGAGATGGCAAAGACAGCCTCTTGACAGGCTGACCTTGAATTGAAGGTGGATGCTGCAAGGACGAGCGCTGCAGTCCGCGGGCCACAGGGTTAGGTGCCCCCACATCCAGCACTTCTTTTCCAGCTTCTCTAACAGCATCCTCACCTTGATTTGCCACCTGGTCTGCCGCATCGCCTTTCGGGATTGAAGTCCCCTTACCAGAGCTCGCTGCTAAGTGTTCGTCTTCCTCCATCAGTCACGCCTGCGGACAATCGCCATCCGCGAGTCAACTCAACCGACCATCGCAACTGACAGCAACTGTAGGTGTTTTATTAACAATTTTGGGGCCTAGGCTTTCGGGCGCCGTCAAGATTTGGAGTGTACCGCTGACAGCGAAAAGGCTCACATGAAATGCATGAACCCTGCAAGTGGGAAAGACTACCCTACTAGCGGGTGTGGCATTGCGTTTAGGACCCCGAATCAGCAGACCACATGAGGCTGTAAGCTGCCGGCGTGACGTGGAACAGTCAAGCAAATTCTGAGCAAGTCTATAGGAGGACATACAGTATCGGCGGAGGGGCCCCCAGATTCCCTAAACCCTTGTCACTACGAGGCTAGTTTTTCGCAGAGGCCAAACCCCGTCGCCTTAGAGTCTATCGAGGCAGAATCCCGTAAAATGATGCCTCCACTGCACAAGTACGGCTTCAAGACAGCTGTGGCACAAGAACCGCCGAGACAACGACAAAGACATTGCACTTCCCGAACCCTTCCGAACCCTAACCCCAAGCCCTTTTTCGGCATAGGTTTGGAGTGTGTGCCGGTGAACCCCCCAAGCCCTTTTACACCTGGACTATGCATACGCCAGGAACCGAGGAACCGACTATATGCTGTGGACTCGTGCCGCACGGCTACCCCAGATTGCAAGAACTGATCAACTGGTCATCCCAAGTTTCAGGATGCAACGACCACGTGGCTACAAATCCAAGATCCTTAAAGATTCGGGAAGTTTTTTTGGAAGAATATCCGGCAACAGCACATCACCCCAACGATCACTGACGAGGACACCGAGGCAAAAGAAATCCCGCAAGCTGTAGAGCGTCAACAATATCAGATTCAATTCTAAGTGCCATGGAGCCGTTCTCCGGGTCCAGCCCCAAACAAAGACCAAAACCCAGCGTCTTCCCAAAACCCAGCGTCTTCCCGTGTCAAGGTTCGCCGCTGAGCGAGCTCAACCCAAGTCTCGAAGCCGCAAAAAGCCCATATTGTATTTGCTGCATTTGCTTTCTGGAATATCATAACATAACATGTTGTAGTATATCAGAGTAGGATCGCTCTCCCTCTCTGCCGTGCCATCATCAAGTGTCTCGCAATGCAAGGGCACGAAATAGCAGGCCAGAATATCAGGAGGCATAGCGCGAACGAGACTATATTCATATCATATCATAGCATTTGTAAACCTTAGCCCTTAGCGGCCCTAGCGATTTCTTTGCCATATAGTCAGTCCGGAAAAGAACTGGCTCCGGCCTGGCAGCTCGCGTCGCCCTCGCACCTTCCCTCATCACGGGGACACTGGTGGCTTTTACCCACAGTGCCCTGTTGCCAGAGCCGAAATTCAGCGGCAAGGCTTGCTGTGTTATCCTTGCTTTTTCGTCAGACACCTAGCAGACTTGTTGCAGTAATCACCACTATCTTATACCACCATCACAATGAAGACGGTTAGTATCACAATTAAACTTGTTATGCTTGTGTCGACACGATCGAATCCAGCTCTTTCGCTGCTCACCTCTACATGCCATGCCGAGCCCTGACCCTTCGCCGAAAACCTCTGCTGCCTCGATGCACAATGTCCTCCTACCCTTCGCCAGCGTATTAGACCTGAATCGTCGCTGGAAACTAAGAGTCAGCAGCCCGTAGGGCACACCGATTTTTCTCACGCAGATGGCCTCAGTGCGCCCCAGCTGCCTGGTACTCAAGAAGACCAGCAGCGGATCACCTCAAACAACTGACCGAAGCACCTGTGTGATCGGATAACGTTTGGTGTCTCCAACTTCTTGCTACAGCTTCGTAGTTGTGTTCTGTCGAACTGGGGGGCTGCAGCTTGGTAGTTGCGGTCTGCAGAGCTAGGGAGTTGGGGTTAGGGCTTCCGCCCAAAGCAGGGGATGACTTGGAGGTATTGGGTGGCTGATACATCCCGATAGCTTCAGGAGTTTAGGGTCTCAGAGAACCTCGATTCACACGCAACCGTGCGGCCGTGCCAGGTCCTGCGCTTGCGACACTCGTTCCTTACGATCTGCAGTGCTCCTACATAGACCCGCGCACACGAACGGAGCACAGGCACGGCATGAAAACGTTGGTTTGAGCGGATACCTTTCTCCGCTGTCTCTACGCATGTTCTGGCGACGCAGTTGCTGGACACTCCTTTACCGCCAGCAATCGCGCTTGCCGTGCAACTGCAGCTGCTTTGCAGCTCGCAGCGGACTATGGCAGTCATCCTAAAGGACCGCTCCCTACGCTAACTCATGGCATAGAGAGGTGGTCCTGCCATGAAGTTGCGTAACAAGCGATGCTCACATACTCTTCGTTCTTGGGACTGCTACTATCTAATTTCCGCATGTAATGCTTCGTGATGGCTCGGCCCAGACTGCTTCAATTGAAGTTCTGGCATAGCTACGGTTGCCACCACACTGCGACAGTTTATGCCTCACTTGCCGTACCACTGCAGCACGATTGCATTGCTACCATGTTGCCAATATCATCGTGAACATGGGGCCTGATGCCTTGAAATCGGAACTGCTACATAACTGGTGCATGTTGATGCGTGCAACTGCTGCTAGACCGCCTAGATTCTGCCGGAGATTTTGCGCAAAGGAACGACAGAAAGCCTTCTGGGGGCTCTTTTGTCTACAGTACGGCATGCCGTGTCCTGGACCTTTCTCAAGGTCAAAGTCCCGATTGAGGACCAGATTCCTGAATCACCGCCTTGCGAAACGATAACAGTGGCGACGACGACAGCGCTGATGATACTCAGCATGCTCGTCATCATGCAAAGCACTCGGCCGCTGGCGCCGGAAGACATCAGCGCCATCATGGCTGTGACCATACCCGCGAACATCATGCCTGGAATTGGTAGGCCGTGTACAGTTTAAGGCTTTGGGTTGAGGGTTGAGGGTTGAGGGTTAAGGGTAAGGCCAGACCATGGAGGTTCTGCATGCCTTCTCATCCTGAAACAACCATCAGTAAGGAGCCGGCCGATGTTTGCCAGGAAGCAGGGCATGTTTCCACGGACAATACCTCGACAGATACGGGTACCAAGCTGTCATCAGGCCAACTTTAGGCCAGATGTCGCATGCGTGCACCTTTGAGCATATCAACTTGGGGGAAGCGTCAAGCCCTCTCTCTCTCTCTCTCTCTCTCTCTCTCTCTCTCTATCTGTCTCAGGTACTCGGAGCGTCAGACCCGTTCGCAGCAGGAAGGCCGCAACTCTGTCAGCCCCCTAGCAGTCTAGCCCTCAGTCCAAAGCAGAATCTCGGGGCCCCTGCATCGCCCAAACACGCCGCAGTGATGGTCAAATCCGGTAACCTTGGATGCAAAATCCCGGGTCTGCCGGAGGTCAGGATAAGAACACCAACAATCATCAGACCCTGTAAGACCCTCTGATCCCGTAAGGTGGATGCACAGCGCTGGCAGACGTTGCAGTGGTGGACTTTTCCAGCCTGGCTGTCGCACTCGTTATCCAGCTGTAAACCGCCACAATGCTGCAGAAGTATCAACGTGTCTTGTGTTCACCATTCCCCTTCATGTAGAGAGTTGGCGCTGCGCCGCTAGCACTTCCGTACGACAACCCGCAACACGCCGATAAGTTTCCGTGGAGCGGCTTTGCCTTCTCTTTAGCTGAGGGTCTCACGTTTCGCGGCCGCCAAAGACAACATCTGACCTTGCAGCGGCATGCAACTGAGGCAATCCACTAAATTCAGCCAGGTTTTGAGGGAACTGCATTTTTTCTGCTTCCGAACCAAGCCCTGCACGCAATAAGAATCCTGGTGAGGGATGTCCTGCAGGGCCGTCGCGCAATTATGGCACAGCATGTTGCTGAGACTTTTGGAAGCTGAATCTATCTGGAACTTGAAATCATGAGGCCGACATGACAATGATGACAGCCTGACGTGGATCGCAAAAGCCAAGTGTCCTGTCGAGACGGCATGTTTTTCAGCCCATCCAATGGAAGAGACCTGGCCGGCGTTCGCTGGAAGATCCATGAAAGCTGACTTGAGGATGCAAGACCAGACCCTGCACTCCATCCAATCCACCACTGACTCACAAGACCAACACGCAGGATGGGGGACGAGGACAATGACAGGAGGCTAGAGATGACACACCCTTCAACTGCAGTGCATCCAGGCCAGACTCGAAGCCACAGGGCCTGAGCATGGAAGCCTAGCTTCGTCGGCATACGTTCTCACAAGTCAAGAGATAGCCTCGCCGGCGCTTCCTCTCAGGCAATGGGCATTGCCCTCGCATGACTTCAAACAATGTCCAGGTCTTCTGCCTGGCACAGAATCATCCAAAAATGCCCGGGCCTCGCTAGACAACAAAACTGCCTGGGCTCTGCGGTGGCATGCACTTCAAGGTTTTGCGGATCCCGTTTCGCGGCCCCTGGTGCTTATAGAACTATTGCCCTTGCTATCTACTATTGTTAAAAGCAGGGCGCTTATATATATGGTCACCCCCCCCCCAAGATCCACACCCACTCTGTTCCTCTCTCTCACGCATAACCAAGCGTTTCGAACCTACCTTCTCCATGTGCAGAAAGTGCTGTAAATACCAGCGGGAACGGCTTCTCTGTAGAACAGCTTCTTTGCTCATAGCATGTCTACAAACTCTTGACATCGAACATTTTGCACACCAGGATCTGGTTCCGAAATCAATGGCTTAGTGGGAGGCAGAGTGCCAACACCAAGATACCGCCAAGGAACCAAAGGCATGACATACCTTGTATTTTTGGAAAAGACTGTTGATATACCACTACGCACAACAGTATGCTGTCACTATCATTTTGATTTGACAGTCAAGATTCAGTGACAGTATAACAGTATAACACTTTACAAGCAGTAGTGTTGAAAAGTGCTGTGCAGTCCTTTCCATTTGGGTTTGGGAAAACCCAATTTTAGGGACAGCACAGCACTTTTGAAGCTGAGGTGCCCTAAAGTGCTGTACTGTCCCTAAAAGTTGGGTTTGGCAGAGGCCAAATTTAGGGACAGTACAGCACTTTTGAAGCTCAGGTGCCCTAAAGTGCTGTACTGTCCCTAAAATTTGGCTTTCCCAAGCCAAAAGTGCTGTACTGTCCCTAAAAAACCTAAAAAACCTATCCCCCAGCAACCTTCAGGCGTTCCCAGCCGATAGTCTCTGGAGGATAGGCTTTTTAGGTTTTTTAGGGACAGTACAGCACTTTTGGCTTGGGAAAGCCAAATTTTAGGGACAGCACAGCACTTTTGAAGCTGAGGTGCCCTAAAGTGCTGTACTGTCCCTAAAAGTTGGGTTTGGCAGAGGCCAAATTTAGGGACAGTACAGCACTTTTAAAGCTCCAGTGCCCTAAAGTGCTGTACTGTCCCTAAAATTTGGCTTTCCCAAGCCAAAAGTGCTGTACTGTCCCTAAAAAACCTAAAAAACCTATCCCCCAGCAACCTTCAGGCGTTCCCAGCCGATAGTCTCTGGAGGATAGGTTTTTTAGGTTTTTTAGGGACAGTACAACACTTTTGGCTTGGGAAAGCCGAATTTTAGGGACAGCACAGCACTTTTGAAGCTGAGGTGCCCTAAAGTGCTGTACTGTCCCTAAAAGTTGGGTTTGGCAGAGGCCAAATTTAGGGACAGTACAGCACTTTTAAAGCTCCAGTGCCCTAAAGTGCTGTACTGTCCTTAAAATTTGGGTTTGGAGAAGCAGAGTTCAGGGACCATTCTACTCTAAGTTTCTTGCTGGAACCGTGAATGCTGCGGCAAAGATTGTTGGATGTGGACGATCTAATTATTTTCAGTACGAACATGAGTCCGACGTCTCGGCAAACCATGTGGAGCAGGACTGATGCATGATTGCTTCGGGCCGATGTTTTGTGCGCGAGGAGTCGCTGGGTGCCGATTCACAGCTTACCGCTGGAGCATCTAAATCAAAATGGTGCCTGCGATGGCATTTGCAGAGGCAAGGCAGCTCCCCTAGCTATTGTTCCAAAGGAAGTCAAGCATGGTACCTGTGGCTTTCCACATGTTGCCATAGCGAAACCAGTAGGTGAACTGGGCTGAGCGAATCTTCCTTGTGAGGGCCTGGTTGCCTGGAGTGCGATCTGTGTGCTTCAAAAAGCTACGCAAATGTCCCCAAAAGCGGTCGATTATCTGCGTGCCGCTTTTCACGCTCAGAAGGTTGCCGTTCGGCAACTTCACCTTGTACACTTTCGTGTAGTGAGGCTTGATCCAGTGCACCTGTGCAGAAGGCGTGTGAATTGACATGAACTGGAGTAATGGGCATGTTCAGAAAGACATGTTCTTGATTCATGGGAGGCCTTGCCGTTGATCTTAACCTTCTTTTTCTGGTGGACGACGTTGCAGTGGATCACCTCCGGGATTTTGAGTTTGTAGGCCTTGGCGCCGTCGCTGTGCAAGACAACCTTGGAGTTGGCGAGGAGCTTCATCCCGATGCCCTTCCAGTCTCGTTTCCTGATAAGCCCCGGGCCGGGAGCTCGCTTTTTGGTGAGCTTCGGCTCCAGCTTGAAAAGACGAAGCGATGAAGGACAGCCTCGTTGGACAAGGCCGCCCCACTGTTCCCACTTCGTGTTGTAATCGCCCTCAATGTTGTTGTCGGTACTTTTGCCAATGTCGACCTCGTCGACTTCCGCATCCTCCCAGTTGCCACCGTAGGTGATGTCCTTCTCCTTCGCGGTGACATACCGGGCACGGGCAACCTCCAAGTTGGCAAAGATTCTCTCCACTGGCTTGTGGTCCATATCCAGGACCAGATGAGCTGCCTGAGAAGAGACCCCTGCCACTGCCGCGTAGAGCACAGCCGCTTGCTCGTGCAGTTTTGTCTGGGAGTTGCCCGCACCGAGGAAGAAGATGGGGTGATAGTCGTGAGGCTGCAACATCTTGTGGCAATGACGGTGGCTGCAGCGGTAGGCCCAAACCTTCTTCTCCTTGAAGTATTTGAGACTACCAAGAGAGCCTGTGCTGCAACGAGGACATGTGTGACCCTCCCAGTTGGGTAGGATCTGATCCTTTTGCAGCCGCTCTATGAGCCTGCGGCCCCGCAATGCCATGAACATTTGAACTGATCGTCCCCAGCGCTGGCGGTGTGCCTTGTTCTTCGTGGTTGGCTGACCATGACGAACATAGGGCACAGGGACGTAGGTGTTCGTGGCCGCTGGGCGCCTTTGAACACGATGTTTCCCCCGTTTCGGAAGAGGAAACTGCGGCTTTTTCATAGCTTTCATCACCTTCTTCGGCATGATGTCGATGAAAGCTTGGGCGACTACTACAGTACTTGAGATGGCAGAAAGAAGCTACAGTACGAGTCACCTTCTTCGCTTCTGCTCCTGGCATACGTGGTGCATGACAGCAGGCAGTTGCAAAGAAACATTAGCGACCGAAACATTTCATTTGTGCCTCACGCGGACCTAAGAAAAGTGTGTGGGAGGACTCAAGTCTGCAAAATGCGGTCCACTACCTGGGTACCGCTTTTCAAATCGAGAAAGCACTTTCGGCAGCATGCCCATAGTGGGGCTTGAGTCAGCAGCATTAGAGGTTGAAGATGCTTAAGAGTGTTTGCAAGGAGTTTTGGTGTGATGCTCCATAATACATGCTAGGATTTTTTGTTTGATGCCCCATACTTCATGCGATGATTCGTCATTGCATGCTGCCTACGAGAAACGGCACTACACTTGTCTCACTCGTCGCCGGCGTCATCGCATTTTTCAAACTCCTCCTCAAGTTCTTGGGAAAGGTTGTACGGGAACTCTTCATCAACATCCATCTCGTCCTTTGAAGAGGATTTGGAAGATTCGGCAAGCACAGCCTTTTCGGAGTCGCTCGCCTCATCCTTTGGGGAGGGTTTGGGAAGCTCCGCGGGCGCCGCCGTTTCGGACCCGCTGGAGATATTGAGCTGCAGGACCCTCTTTCCGAAGGCCTGCTTGAAGGCGGAAGGCGTCGTCTCCTGGGGCTCCTTCTTCACCTGGTCACGAGCACATGTTGCCATGAACCTCAAACCTATCCGTGTAGAGACAAACTTATGAGTTGATAAAATAATTTCCATTGTGCAATATGAGTGGCAGTGACGAGTCCATGGCCAGGTGCGGCATGCGAAGATGGTGCGGGTGCGGGCGGTGCGGATAAAGAAGAGTCGCTCTTGAGGTTCGCATCTTCGACCTTCTCCGTGCCCAAAAGTGCAGAGGATGACCTGACGGATTTGAGCTTTTTGGTTTGAGGCCCAGCACTTTCAAGATCTGCCGCTTCATGGAGATAGTAGACGGTATCACCGGAAATACCTGCCAAAGTTGGTCTGCGCTCCTTCACAAAGGTGCGGCCGGTAGACATTTCACGACCTCGGACGGTGAAGGCGGTATCAACGGGCTCCTTGTCAAATGCAGCCTGTAAAAGATTGAGACTCCACTGCAAATCGTCATTGAACGAAGAAGGTTGGGCGACGAGTTCTCCCTTCAGGAAGGCGTCATAGGTGGGACGTGCGCAAGGGGAGACCATCCCTACATCTCCCTCCGGCCATGCCAGCCGCTTGACGGGGTCTGTTTGGGTACCCGGCAATCGGATGTAGATAGCAACCTGGGTGAACACAACGACGACAGACCGCTTGAAAATACCCATGAGGTCCTCGTCGTTGAAGTCCTTGTGGAAGGAAGGTCTCACGATGTTAAAGAAGGTCTGGAACGGGACGAAGTCTGAGGGCGTGTTGAGCACCATGGCCGGCTCAATCTGTTTATCATACGGATTGGAACAGATTTGGCACAGCTGGTTCTTCTCACACGAGCTGGCATTCCAGCGCGCAATTGTTTTCCGGTCCAGACCCGAGACTTCTGTCACCGCGTTCACAGACGCAGGGTGCTCGAGGTTGAGGTTCCCATCGTCGAACACCCTGGGCTTGGTCTTCCGGCCTTTTTCCTTTCGGAAATAGTCCAGATGACTGCATGTCTGAAACATCGGAGGAGTGTCTGTCTTGCCCTCTTGAAAGAGCCAATAAGCCGAGATCAAGGAAGAAAGGGTGTAGGAAAGCGGACTTTTTCCCACCTGCGATCTCCCAATGTAGATAACGGCGTGCTCTTTCAAGAAGGGTAGCAAGGGCATAATCACGTCATTGAGTGCCCAAGGTGTAAAGCTCTTCAAGGTCAGAGGCCAATCCCTGATGGTATTGGCCTGTGAACCTGCGTCAGCTAGACACCTGAGGTACTCCTTGATTACGCCGCGCTCCCAACGGTACAAGGGACCACTGGGGTCGTTCACCTGTTCCTCGGTCCAAATGGTGAACTCGCCCTGAGCATTGTCCTCGGGCCCGTGGTCCTTGATGAAGTGGAAGCCTCGCCTGATGTCCTCCGTTTCTTTCGGAACCTTGTTGGAAGCTCCTGCAGGAACCAGCTTCTGATAGCGAACCTGAAACCCGCCCATATTCTCTAGCATGTACTGGAAGGCACGACCTCCATCTCTGTAGCGGCCCTGATAGTCAATCTCCAAGGCTTGACCCGAGCACATACTAAGTATGGTGGAGTGGAGTACCTTGGTGCCGTCCACGAACTTGACATGCTTGATGATGTGGTGTTTGCTGTCATCACAGGGCACAATGACCAACTGCATATTGTAAGCCACTTCCACCCTGCCCTTGTTGCGGATGGGGTCAGGGAGGTCGGCGTAGCGCTGTTGCAAGAACAACTGCTCCAGGCTCTTGAAGTCAATTGGTCCTTCGTACCCCATAATGACGTCCAGGAATTGCGTTTTCTTTTTGAGGACATCTGTGAGGTTGTTGACTGCTGGAAGGTCACCTATGCTCACAAAGCCTGGCTCTTTGTGAACAATCATGGGTTTTTCCAAGGTAATCACCTTTAAGCCGTCCGTGTTCGCCATGGCTTCCTCAAAAGTCATGCTGCCGTCCAGGCTGCCTGAGTGCTCGTTCTGGGCCAAGCTCACGGGGCGCGACGGAATGGAGCTGGCCATGGCGTCAATGAGAAAGGGCAAAGGGCGAAGATTGCTGTAAGAATCGGTGCTCGAGGCGCAGGCTGCAGTTTGGTTTTCTCTCCGACAGTTCATGAAATAACGTCGGCATTGCTTGCGGCAAGATGTCGGGATGAGATTACTGTTCCATGCTCCACACTGAATGCGAAGACTTTTGCTGATGCTCCATACTTGATGCGAGGATTTTTGCGTCGATGCTCCACACTACATGCAAGGATTGTGTGCTTGATGCTCCATACTAAATGCGAGGATTTTTTGTTTGTTCTGTGTGGCAGAAGAAAATGTTGCATATACCAAGATATGCTTATGAACACGCAATCAACTACGAGACGACGGAGGCGTGACCGCTTTAATTGAACTGGGAAGCAAAACACAGAAGTGCATGCACTTCCGCATGTTTTCCATACTTGCAGCAAGTTCTGTGAGAATCGACGCTTGTCCCACTTAGTGGGATAGGGCGAACATGTCTTCCTCACTCAGAAGCTGATCACCGCCACGGGCTACTTTGTAGACCAATTCGCGGTACTGCATGACCCGATCTCCTTGCATCTGCATTATGAGCATAATATACGTGAGCCTAAAGAGCTATATAAACAAAAAAGGAGTAAACAGCCAAGTGCCGTTTGGAAGTGTATCGATATGCGCTTCCCAGTCCACTGGTGCCGACGGCACGGGCCCAAGCGGAGGATCTTGACAGGATTTGTGATCCAAAATCAGAAGAGCTTGTGTTCCGGTCCGTACATGCAACAAAAAACTTGATATGATAGCACAGCATCTCTTCGCGAACTCGATGATTGCTTCAAGCACGTCCACTGGAAACGCCCGTGCCAGATGCATCTTCCACATGGTATTGTAGAACGGCATGTTGCGCTAGTTCTCTCTTTCTACTCTTACTTTCAGACTGGGCCACTCTGAGCCGCATCACAGCGTGTTCGATTTAGGGTATCGATTTGGAAGGATAGTTTGGGATTAAGGTTTAGGGTTGACGGTAAGTCGCACAATGAATGGTCTTGAGATTCCACACTACCTCCATCTCCTTGTTCCTTGGGGGCTGAGTACCCTAGCCCTAAAAGGGTTAACCTTTTCACTTAAGGTAGGTAGGATTATGTAAACCCCACAAAGGTTAAAGAACACCTACTCAGCTACGAAGGTTCAGGTAGAGCAAGATCTTGTTGATGTACTGCGCTCTGGGTGGCTCGATGAAGGCTGAGGCCAGTACCTGGGCAGGGCAGGCGTGGATCTTGGGGGGGGGGGGGGAGCATATATATATATATATAATATATATATATATATATATATATATACATATATATATATACATATATATATATACATATATGATATGATATGATATGATATGATATGATATGACTTCGGGATTCTAGGACTTCTTGACTTCTGGCAGAACCAGAAGTTGCACGGCCGCCAGAAAAAGTGACACGTCGCGAAACGAATTCGTAAAACGGAACCGAGGCCTGGAGTCTCGGGGTCCGGGTAATATGGGGGCCTTAATGATTAGAGCTGGGTTTTGGGGCCCATTAAACTATCATTATAATGAGGAACCCCCCAAGATAGTATTGGTAATTATTTAGGCCCCTATAGTAGCTATTTTGAAGAATGTGTCTGCTGCCTGCGCGATGTCAGGAGGGTCGGACCCGAGAGACCTTCACGTGATGCGTGCTGCTTCAGCCACTTCATGCACCCAGCCTTGCCGGTCCTCTCTGGGTGGTGCATCTCGGTGATGGGGCTGAAATCCTTTTCGAAAAGATTCTTGACTTCACGGAGCTCTCGAACGGCTTCGCGCAGCTCACTTCTGAGTTGCTCGGTCTCCTGCTCGCTGTTGAGTGACTCTTTGACTTCAATATAGGTTTCCGGTTGCTTCGTGGAGGTGTCAATCATGCCCTCATCCAGATGTGCATCCCACGGCTCAACGAGCCACAGGTATCGCGGGCCTCGATTGGGCGCGCAATCGCAGGTTGCCATAGAATAGGTGAGGGTCAAGTCTTCTTCCCATGGGTAGTCTGAACCCTTGACCTGGAAGAGGCCGAGGAAAACGGCAATATGACAAGCAGTGAAGACAAAGAGCTGAAGGATCGATGTGAATTGCTGCCCACAGCAAAGTACTAAGTATTGCAGCCCAAGCGCCAAGCCAAGCAGAACGGACCCAAGAATTCCGGCCGATGAACTCGTGCACAGTTTTGTTGGGATCACCGACGCTCGAAGAAGGAATGCCAGGCAGGAGGATGCGCGAAGTCAAGTGAACTTCGGACCAGCAACGGATGCCTCTGCAGAGTATTGCTCGTTGATGACACCAATGAATATGTTCAGCACGAAGATGGAAAAGAACAGCACGCCTCCATAGCAAAGCATGAGTTCTACTCGGTCAACAGGCGGTTCATCCGGTAGACCCTGCAAAACCAGGGTTTGAAAACTCTGAAAGATCATGTTGGGCCACAAGTGCTCCACCCGCTGCTGCACGGCATACATAGCATGTGTCATCATTCCAAAGCACAGCAGAGTGAATGCCAGAGCCGGCACAAGCGCGATGAGAAGCTTCTGTATGGGCAGCAAGACCTCTCCGATCCATTTGTGCAGGATCACACCCTCAAGCAGACGCAACCAATAGATGAATAATGATGAATACAATGAGCACCTTCAAAAGCTTGTGGTCGAGGTAGAGTAGCAGGATGGGAGCAATGCTGCGTGTAAGGTCCCAGGCGTTGCCCATAGTTGAATATCTCGAAAGCATACCTGCTCTGACAAGTCCGAAGATCTGGGCCACCTCAAGGTTGAGGTCCACAATGCCTTTGGCAACCATCCAGTGTGTAACAACTCCAGCAAAGACTCCATCGTTCGTCTGTGTGGCTTTCACGCGACTCCAAAACCAGAAGTGCAAGGCCCCAAAAGGAATAGCAAACCTGCATCGCGTCCATCCAGCACCCGCCGTTCCAGTAGGTGTAGGTAATCATGGCCCGTATGACCCGGACGTCATACAGCGCGAGCCCCCCTTCGGCGTGTTCGGCAGCAGACGCGAGGTCCGCGAAGACAGTTGCATTGATGAGATTTGGAATCCCACACACCAATATGCTAGCATCCACGCGGGATTCATACTTGCCATGAGTGATCTTTGAATGCCAAGATGGGGCCTCGTATGCTTCATCGTCGAAAGACCAGTCGCGTTCCTTTTCGTAGAAACATAGAAGTCTCGGAGCCACGCCCAACCAGCGCAGCAAAAATGAACCGGAAGCGAAGGACACGCGCGAAGGCAGCGGGTGCCAACCTTGTGATGCAACCCTCGGAGTTGCTGTACACATCTCCAAGACTTGGATGGCAACTCTGGGGTAGTAGTAGAGGCGGGCCAGATCTCTATGCGTTAACTTGTCTCCAAGCACCTCCGAAAGGTTGTCATGGAGGCAATGTAAGCGTCTTAGGAACCTTGGGAGGCATTCTGGCGCCAGGAAAAGGAATGCTTTGAAACTGCCGAAGTTGAGTGCCGCTGCATCTGCCAAGGCTCCGCGGCTCATCTTACCACACTGGATGCCTTCCTCCAGAGGTGTCCTTCCAAGGGCGGGCGTGAAGTCTTCCATCTCAGTGAATTCATCCTGATCCAGCAGGTGATGCCGAACTGCCTGAATGGTCCGCACATTTCCAGCCGCGAAAGCTAATTTCAAGCATGTCGAGCCGTTGCTATTTACGCTGCAGATGTTTGCCCCCCGGCTGCAAGAAAGTCAATGATGTCGCTGGAACCGCCACGGCCCTCCTTGAAGACTGCTGCCTGAATGATGTCGTAGCTGTCTCTACAATCCTGCTGGGTCATGGACTGTATGTCGCATCCTCTGTCAAGAAGTAGCTGCACCATAGAAACATGTCCGCGGCTTGCCGCCAAGTGTACTGGGCATCCTGTGCAAACTTGTCTCCTTCCAGCATAACTTGTAGCGTACGCGAATCGGTCGCTCGGGCCTGCCCCGGCTTCCAGATCCTGGATGACTGCTGCTTCCTCATTTTCAAGAACATGGACGTGCAAGTCGGTGCCCCAGCACGTCCTGTTGTTCCACAAAAACTGCGTCTGCCCAAACTGTTGAAGCTCGCTCACAAGGTCAGTCCGCGGCGTTGGCGACCCGAGCGCATCCAGAGTCAGAGTGAAATGAGTGCGCCTGCGGCTCCGATAGTCTGCACGTTGACGCTCCCATTCAGCATTTGTCTGCTGAGTGGAGAGCATGGGAGAACTGGCCATCGAGTTATTCGGCTTGCGACGCTCACACGTTCGGCTGTAGGGTATTGCATGAAGCACGGACAACAATCTTCAAGCTCACGGCACGATGTCGCTCTGCAGAACTTAAACTTCACATGGGGCTTCACCTTCGCGAACCCTGGATAAGATGTTCGTGCTCAGCTCATTCTGCTCTTCTCTCCCTCTGTTCTTATGCCTGGGCTCCCCCCCCTCTCTCTCTCTCTCTGTCTCTCTCTCTCTCTCTCTCTCTCTCTCTCTCTCCTTCTTCTTCTGCAGGCCATAAGGGGCGGGTCAGGCCCCCCGGCCTCATGTGCCCCCCATGTGCCCCCCATGTGTTATGGGGCTTTCAGCGGGTGTGAAAAAACATCGAGTCCCCCAGTTTGTGCAATGAGATGTATTGGACTATATAATTACTGGGTTCATCGATCTCTCTATCTATCTCTCTCTCTCTCTCTCTCTCTCTCTCTCTCTCTCTCGCTCGCTCGCATCACGGGCAAGGTCCGAAGACCCGGGCCGAGGCCCCCCCATGACTTCCTTGTTCTCTCTCTCTCTCTCTCTGTCTCTCTCTCTCTCTCTCTTCCGGGCTTGGGGATCACGGCACTCTCTCTCTCTCTCTCTCTCTCTCTCTCTCTCTCTCTCTCTCTTCTTCATGCCCGTCTCTCACTCTCACTCTCGTCTCTCTCTCTGTCACTGTCTCTCTCACTCGTTCTCTCTTAACCGAAAGATCTGCGGAACTGGTCCCCGACTCCCCAGAGCAGACTCAAGCGGTAGCAAGCCACTGCTTCAGCAACTGCTCGACTTCTGCGGGGATCGGATAGCACCTTTGCGCAGGCGGTTGCCATAAACCCTATGCCCTATGCTAGGCCCTCGCACCACCCTGTGACTTCAGGTGCGGGAGAGCTTCTGCTTCCCGACAACCTCAAGTCCATGAGTCATAAGCGGCTTATCACTACTTACTACTATTATCTATACTGAGAATGCTCTGACAGAAAACGAGACATTACGGACCCCATGTTGCCAGTGCCATTACAACTGTGAGTTTGGCATACTGGACCTCGAGACCCGACTGAAATCGTTCTGGCCCTACAGTAGCTTCTGCGTTCGGGCTTGTGCGTCGGAGCTTTGGCAGGCTCTTCAACAAGCTCTGCAGCTCAAGCTTCATAGTTTAAACAATCACAAGTAACAATAACAACGATGATATCAACAACAGAAGCTAGTCGTTAGAATTCTGAGGCAGGTACGTTTCCGGAGACCGGCTAAGTTCACCAGCGTTGCCGAAGAGCAGGAATAACGTACTGAGGGCTGCGACGCCGGCCTGCCCGTGTCAGTTTGATATTGCGGCATCACACAGTCTATAGTAGCATATTATAGTCGTTTGGCGCATGTTAAACAGCAGAGCATATAACAGCATATACTAGTCTATGCGGTCGTATATAAAGGTATCTTGTTATACGACTGTAGATAAGTACTTCTATCTGGGTGGTACAGCGACCACCATGGGAAACTGTGTTTCAAGCGGCTGGGCGATATGCGCATTCGGAAGATGGGACTGGATGCTTACCTTTTCGGGGCTGGCGGGGTTTGGGCTGTGGTTTAAGTGCCTGTTTATGGAATTGGGGATTACATATTTCCTTGTGTTGCCTTGCTACGGAGACTTCCTTTGCTACTGGACTCAAGTCTAGGCAGACCACGACCTGCAACCATCTTGACCCAATCCCTAACCCTAAATTCCCCACCTGAATGCCTTCCCCTGTCGCCCACTTGCAAAGTTGATTTTACCGCTCGTTTGCCGTTTGAAGCCTCGGCCCAGATGAGGGCCAGGGCCACCTGACCAAGGCTGGAGACCTTGAGGCGAATTTAGAGGCCTTGATAGTTAGAATGGGGTTTTGGGGTATCCTGTAGTCGAACTATACCCATCTATAACACTTGGGGCTTCCATAGTGCTGGTTCGACACCTCTCCAACAGTGTCCCTGATTGGGGTTAGGGTAACGAAGCGGTGTGGACATTTTATCTTACTGTCCGGGGTTTGGGATTGTCTGCACATGAACGGCGGTGCGCTTTCGTCTTCCTGCTCTGTGGATTTGGGGCTTAGGGTCAAGCATCTAGGGTGTAAGCTTGGCAGATTCCAGTGGCTCAGGGCTCGCATTACGCCAAGGCTCTTATGTCGGAACGTTTTGGAGAAACAACAGGAATGAAAGACAAGTGGGCCCCCTGTCGAAGCTCGAATCCGACCAAGACCGTGCACCAGACTCACCCGAACTCATGTCCCTCAAGCGTCCTCAAGCCATTCTCTGCTGTTCACACTGGAATCTTCGGTAGATTTGATAGCATGATGGCAGCCGCGTGTACAACACGACATGGCGCATTGCTATAGGCCACTAGGCCTTTGAGCGCACCCGCAAATCCTTCGAGATGCGTGAAGGCTTGCCTAGCTCTGCCGCCCAAGAACCCCGTCTCTGAGCCAAGAAGTTCCCAAGCCCAATGTACCAGTGGGACTGCAGCTTCATCTTCATCTTCACGATCTGTACAGCCAACCATCATCAATAAGTCGACATCGTGATGATGACCCCCACCCTGGTGAGCATTTCGTACTTGTCACAGAAACAGCCAACATGGTTGCAATCACAGCTCGAGCGATGAGGGCGGATCCTCCTCGCCGGCGCCCGTTGTTGCCTGAGTCTGTGTATGGCTGGAGTTGTGGACTCTTCAAGACTGAAGCGGTTCCGGGGTTGGATCTGTTTGCAGGAGCGGCAGGAGTGCTAGCAGCTAGCATCGCAGCCTTGCCGGAGCACCGTCAGCCACCAGGGTGACCTCCTTCCTACGTACAGGATCTAGTGGTTTAGTGCCTTAGGCTGAGATCCCCTATCCCCGTGACGGCTTCAATAGCATTAATAGCTTTTTGTATCCGGCCTCGTCTCAAGCTATTGGATTTTCTGCACTGCTTCAGATTCGATGTTTGAGCAACTAGGACCTCTTCTCGTTGCATGCGTTGTACTTCAGCACTGAGCCTAAGCAACATGCTCGGGATGGTTCGCTCCAAAGCATCCGTGGCCCCACCATGCCCAAAGCATCCATGGCCCAACCATTGCTGGTGAAGCCAGTTTTCCGGCAGCCTGAACACTAAGCCCCCCTGTGATTATCCTAAGCCCTTTAAATCCACAAACCGGTAAAGGCTCAAAAGCTGGAAGCCCCCGTGAGCCTCCACAGTGAACTGAGGCTCGCACACCATAAGTCAAAGCGATGAGAATGGTGCTGAGCACCTGGCACGGTTCAGGATGAAATAATTCGGCCCGTACCTGTACGGCTGTACGGGCTTTCTCCTGAACCCGGTCAGGTATCTCCCTAAATCGTAGCACCGAAACCCTAAGCCCTCAACGGCAACGCTCACCTCCTCGACTTTATTCCTAGAAGCTCTGAGGAGGCGACGCCCACCACACAAACACCCATGAAGGGCTCTGTCCTCAGAGACTGGCTGCATCTGCAACTGATGTCTTTTCTACTGCGTAGAATCGCGTAGAATCGCATGTTACGTGGTTCGCTCCAGGTTTGATCTGTTTGAGACCGCTTTCTGTGAGTTCACTGCCGTGAACAGTGCTGATTCGGCTGATTCATGGCCTCCGTCCATGGGCCAACGCAACTGGGGCGTCCACCAGTATGCAGGCCCTCGTTTCGGCCTCGGTCACGGCGCACAGGACTGTTGCTTAGGGTTGGATCTGGCTGGGCAGTATTCTTATTCATATTCATATTCATATTAGTATTAATATTAACATTAGTATAGCTATTAGTATTAGTATTAATATTCTCAAAGGGCTCAGACACAGCACCTACGAAAGACCTTTAGACTCGGAGTCCAGCTATGAAGCAGATGTGTAGGCATGCAGATTCACAAACACAGACCAACTACCCCGACGAAAAGATCTAACCTTAAGGTTGGAAATACAACATTCGATATAGTGAGACCATGGAAGAAATCGTGGAAGTCTTCGTTTGATATAGAAGCTACACCCAGTGCACACCACGACAACAGTGCAACTCAACGTGAAATAACGCAGTGCCGGCAGGGCTGTATAACTGCATAACCATATAATCCTGGACAATGTACTAATCATATGCTGACGAAATCTCTCCAACAAGAAGTACAAGGTGTTGGGCTCCGGGGAGGAGGCGGAACGAGCTGCTTCCTCTAAGCTCCCCGGCAAGTCGGGCAGGTCTTCCATCTGAATCGTCCTGTCGCTCCCCGCCTCAGCCATCAGAGAGCTTAACTTTCGGGATCCGGTTCTCGGGTTTTCTGGGGGCTCATCTCGATGTTTTGCCCTCGGGTTTCAAGTTTCTTCTCTCTCAGCCTCAAGATCATCATACGCGATGACAAGGAGCATTCTCCTCATCTGTGTCGCCGCCAGCACACCAACCTCGGCTGCGTCACCGAAATCGTGCATGCTAAAACCGCTAAACCGCCAAACCCTAAACCAGAGGCTTCGCTGAGCTTGCTGTGTCAGATTTTTTGGACCCGCGGGAATCCGAAGAAAGGGCAGAAAGTTGCATCCTGCACACCCAGACATTGTGACGTTGTTCAAGACGCCAAGAACACGGGCCAAGCCCAATGCCAAGTCGTAATAGAAAGAAACAAACCAAGAAATAGTCAACCCTTCTCAGGACCACTGTAAGCCCATAATCCATTACTCCGTAGCCTTCAAACCCCCCCCACTAAGGCTTTTCCTGCAAAAAAACCCGAGGTCCCGGCTCAAACTCGACGACATGTTGGGCCCCGACCGCCCAACTCGCAAAAGCCAGCTGCTCCCCCCGGCGGGAGCTTGGGAGCCGAAATGTCAAAGCAGCGGGGCGGTCAGAGGGGGTTGCAGGAATGATAATAGTAATAATAATAATAATAATAATAATAATAATAATAACAATAGTAATAATAGTAAGGGGTGGGTTTAGGGCTCTCTTTTTGGACTATTTTTTGGGGGGTTTCGACACGCACACTCGCAAAGCAGGGTTTAGGGCTGGGTTTAGCGGCCAAGGTATTCCAATGCGCAGTTGTTGCCAGATTTAAGGCCTTGCGACTGGAACTGGAGGAAAGCCCCAGTGCCTTTAGGAATGAAAGGGGCATGAAACCTTTAGACGACGACAGACTTCATGCAGAACCAAGGAGGACCTATGGCAAAGCTGACCCCCGAAAATCGGCTCTCAATCCTTTTTTCCGCGTGCCGGCTCCAGTCAGAGAGGGGACAGCACGTACCCCCAGGCCACGCCGGCGTTTCCAAGCCTCCGGGTGGCTTCGACCTGAAAGCTTATCCTTCAGGGCATCGCCCCAAGACTTTCTGCACTAAGTTTGCTGTTTGGGCTAACATACTGATGGATTTCTCGCAGTGACAAGTCCTTTCCTCCAGCCACTTCTCTTTGGCCGATATGATGCATGATGATGCAAACGTAACGTCTGCACCGGAAACACAAGTCCGAAGACATTGGAGCGGACCCAAACACAAGCCCCAAACCCAAATTCGAGAAGAGCCTGTTTTCTTCAAGCTACTACTGCTTGTGATTGCCTAGTAATTTGTAGTAGAAGAAGTAATCGTAGTAGTAGTCGCCGCAGTACTTGTTGAAGCAGTAAAGTGAGCCAGGGCACGTGAAAATCAAGAGCCTCCCTGTTGTGCACAATGGCCAACGTCTCAGCCAGCTCCGCCGGCGTCTGCTTTGTGGCAATGACGTACACACTCTCCTTGGGCTGCTCACAGCTTCACATGCAAACACATTCAGCAAAACCACGACTTCAAGACCATTTTGGCGTTTGCCGGCATTAGACCCTCGAAGCCCTACGTCAGCCTGGTGTAGTGACGTTGCGTTGCGTCGGTTCGCCTGCTCTCTGAACTTTGGCGTGCTTGTGCACATGGGTCTGACAGTCCCTACTGGTCTCTGGCTCAAAAGAATTAGCTCGTATGCACTCCGCCTGTGCATCCAGGGGCAAGAAGTCTCTCTACCCCAATGCATGCGCACAGCGTTGAGCCATTATGGCAATCAGAACCACATCCCTTTCACGTCAGTCTACTACAGCTGGAAACCCAGCAAAGCAAGCTACAAGCTTCAACACAAATCACGACAAACATGGCCGCTATGGCATGGCATGGCATGGCCACCAACACCACTACCATCACCGCCGCCACAACGACGCCTATTGGCCTATTGACGACCATGAGCAACAGCCTTGAAGCCTTACGCTTCCTACACACAAATGCACTTTCTCAGCTAGCACTGACACTGCTCCCTTGTATAATATATTTCTATACTATACTATAATATACTATAATACCATAATAATATACTATACTTCTCGCAAGAATCAGCGGGGGATGGGACCAGCGCCTGCCGAACCAAACGAAGCAGATGCGGCAGCATCTGCGGCGCCTCCTCCTGCAGCCAGTCCCAGATCCCAGCCTCGTCAAGCCACGAAACCAGGAGACTTCCGGACTTTGCTATGCTTTGCCAACGGTCTCCCAGAATTTTTTAATCGTCGGTCAAACTGCTATAAGCATCTTCTAAACAGATCGGCCTTGTCCAGAACTGCGCAGTATCCTTGGTGGATCGGAACGGATGACCAAGAATCCGTACACCGACAACAACGAGAACTAACTAAGCGCTAACTAACGAAAGCCCCGCCAAGCCCATCCAAAACCTGCATCCCAAAGCCTATCCGGCCAAACTCACACTTTCTCTGAAGTGCCTCCAAGTTGAACCCTAATCCTCAAGACTTGATTCTTCTTGGTTGGCGAGATTCTGGCATCAGCCGGCGGCCCGCTCTTGAGAAAGTCCCGTAATTGAAAGTCCAAGCCTCAAGCGTTTTGGCCCTGGTACCGCGGGGTTACCTACTGGCCAGAGCTAATCGGGTGATTATTGCACTCGCTGTCGTTATGGGCAGGCTTCGAGCTTCAAGAGTTTGTTTTGCTTCTGTTGCTTGCTCCCCCCCTGCGCCTGGCCAGTCTTTGGCCGGATACCGACTTCGCATGACCTCGATCACCTGGGAGGCCACGTCGATGTGCGTGGATGCGGCAAACCCGGCCCGCAGCAGCAGCTCTGGGACAGGCGCATCTCCACAGCCCAGGTGAAGGACGGGGCCGAGCCCCGGGTCGGCGTACGGTCGCACCAACTCATCTACAAATTCCTCGCTGGATTGGTACCAGTCGGTGTTGTTTATGGAATTCCCCCACTCCCACTGCATACCCGGAGGCGGATCTGAGGGCTGACCCTGGAGCTCCTTCAACCGCCATTGCCAGAAATCCTGCCACCACTCGGCCTTGCACTGCCGGCACGTGGATGCAGCGGCTGCAGCAACTTCTCCTTGGCCATCGGCCGCTGTAGCTGGTGACAGAAGGTGATTCCAAGTGAAGTGCACCGTCGTGCAGAGGCTGACCAAGCAAACGAGCGCTAGGAGCCAGAATTCCCAGCGTGTCGCCGCCATGGGCAGCGGATCCAGATTGGTTTTCGGCGAGAGCGCCTCCTCGTCGCGGGTTTCGGGCTCACCGACGCGCATCCGCAGTCCCTGCGGGAGACCGTTCACGGGATCCCCGCTTTCCATCGCGGAGGCCATCTGCTGACGCCAGGCCACCTGCTTGGCCTCCAGCTCCTCGATCTCTGCCAGATCCTCCATCTCATCCAAGGCGCCCTCATCAAAATAGTCGTCCTCCCAAACGTCCTCCTCATAGTCCTCACTTTTCCCAAGGTCGGCCATGCTGCGCTTCGAAAGACGCGACGTGAACCTTGCGACTCACACGTGCCTGCTCGGGGACACTATAGTCAAGTTGCCCGGCTGTATCCAGTGCTTGTGATATCTGGTTCTGTGCAGTGTGGGCAACCTATGTTCTGTGAGAATGTGTATATCTGTGTGTGTGCGCGCGCAATGTTGTCAGTGCAATGAATGAATAAGCCAACATGGCCTAGGACCGAGGCACCACAACGACCAGTGAGAGAAGCCGTGCTGAAGCAATGATGCCGTCATGCTGATTGAATCTACAGCTGAAGGATTCAATCCGGAAAGATGGCGAAAACCTGCGACAATCTAATTCCAGCCCATGTGACATCGCTACAATATGATTTATAGGACCATAGGATGTGCCGTTTACCAGCTGTGGCACTGCACAAGGCTCGCTGCTTTTGCCACATTTGCGGACTAAAACTGACATTGGCTGTCAGCTCTCTTAGCTGCCAGATCATCGGATGCACTTGGCTGTCTCCTACTGCCCATCATGTTGTGTATCGAAGCATATTCGATTAGTTCTAGCCTTGCTTCTGATGACAGGGTGTTTGGCTCAGGTTTGGGCTCCAGGGTTTGGGATGTACAGTTCCGTCTGCAATCCACATTCGCGGATTGCACCTTGGAGGCTGGATAACCGAGGACAACACAGGCCCTCAAGAAGCGACGCACGGGCAGCCCTACCAGAGCCTTGAACCCATCAGAATCAGGAGGCAAAAGCTGACATCAACCAGGCCCCCTGTCAGCAGAGACGCCTTCGAGCTTCCCCAGGACATGTGGGGGGGCGAAGGGTGGTGGCCGGGATTTGGGTGAACATGACTTGGCTGCTGATTCGTTCTGCCTCGGGTCTTTGTTCAGCGTGTTGCTCGGGAAGCCCACCCCGTAATCTGAAAATAACCCCGGGGCCGTGATACGAGTCCAGCAAGTGCGCCACCACATAATACCCCGCAAAGCTTCGTAAGCAATCAAACCTGCAAACTCCAAATGCTGGAGAACAAACGTCAAAGTGTGCAGGATCTAGAACTCATCTCGCCGTCGTACGGACATTGGTCCCGGGACTCTTCTGGGAAGCCCAAGCCCCAGGAAAGCGCTTCAAGACGGTTTTTGAAATCCTTGCTCAAACCTCGGACCCTAAAATCCGAGAAGATCCCTCGGAAGCAGTCTTCAAAAGCCTAAACCCCTTCCTTTTCCCTCAACGGCCACTCGAGCGGTTGTCACAATCATGGTCCCTTTTGGGTCCCTAATATGTTAATACGGCACCTATTATATTTCGGGTACCCAAACAGGGACCCCTATTTTGATAACTGCCCACGCAAACCCGCCAACACTCCGAACGCTTCCCTGCCTTGCGGCACCCCCAGGAGTGGCGAGCATCAGCTCCCCTGCGGCCGGAATTCTGTCACCCTCTTTCCACTCCCGCATTAAACAAAACAAAGGGTAACAACTAGAATGATGCTGATACCTACGTAGTGCTACTACGCTTTGGATGTTTAGTTTTTCCCGATGAGAATTAAGCAAAGTCTGGGACACTTTTCGGCCGTTGCCGAATAATCATAGTTAATAAAAACAATCATAAGAATACTTTCAATAATCATGCTACAGTACTGCTGCATGCGATAAGAAGGTGGCGCTTCCGAACCTGCGAAGGAGAGACCTCGAACGTCACGGACTTCTGAAACATGTCCCGTGTGCCAGCCTCGGAAGCAATCGACTGTTCCAAAACATGCGGTTCCTTGCATGGGGAGCGCCTTTGGTGGGGATGTATAAGAAATGGAACAAGAGTGGGGATATACTTGGAATGGAACAAGACCGGCTGACGAACATGGAACCTAAATCAAGGTGTAAGGCTTGATGGGTTTCCGAGGCTTAAATCAACCCGTCCCGCTGCCAAAAGCCAAATCCTCTGCCCTACTTCAGCACCTGCAATCCCACTTCGACTCTGCATCTGAATTTCCGGAAGAAGTCAAAGCCTCGCCCGGGGGCCCGACTGGGACGAGCCGGGCGTCTTCACCGCGCGGGGTGACGGGTAAGGACCTGAAGGGCTTAAGATGTCAGGCTCTCTTCCTGAGCCCGAATGAATGACTCGAGTCTCGTGTCTCCGACCTGCACAACATGGCACAGTCTAAGCCGTCTCAATGGACGATACTACTGACGAGATGCGAACCGTGGGAAAAGATGCTACTGTGAGAAAAATGTTGTGATGACCACGATCAGAGCCATGACGGCAATGATTGTGATGATGACGACCACGACGACGAGGCAAAGAATCATGCTGATGCTGTTGCTGGCAGTGACCCGAAACTTTAAACCTTTGCTTACGAAAAGAAAGCTGAGCCTTAAAACCTCAAGCATAACCGCCTGTAGCTTTGGTGGCTTTGAGGGAATGAAAGACATGGGCGCCCGGCTCACTCACCTCCGGAGGGCTTGGGCCTGGCATGTGGCTCAGGGGTGAGCTATGTGTGAAGCAACACCCCAAGCAGTTAGGACTTTCGGTCTTTTGGCGGCTTGGGGTGTGCGATAAATCCTACGACCTACGATGAGTTAGCACTCCGAACCCAGGAACCTGATTGTAAGTTGTGAGCGTCTCGGACAGGAGGTGGATTCTCTAGTAGTGTCTTGGGCGGTCCACCGTCAAGACAGTTTATCAGTTTATCTTTTAAGACCCGAAGTGGTAACCTGAAGCCCGAAGACCAGGCGCGACAGAGAAGTTAGGATTACGGCCCCGTCTCTCGGATGGTGTGCTTTCATGCGCTTTCGTGGTCTCTTCGGATCTTTCGGCCCCTTTTGGCGAAGAAGTGTGTCTGTGGCTCCTGACTGCCTAGCATGCTCCTTGCAGAAACCCTCGTTTTATCCACGAACACTGATGCACATTCTCTACCTCCGGCCATCGCACCCGAAAGATTGTCGAAAGATTGATCCCTATAGCCTGAACAAGAAGCATCCTGGCATGTGAGAGAACTGGACTTGGGCTGCGGCAGGCATCCATCTCAGACTTTTGGTGTCGCACGGCCAAAGCTGCATCCGAGTAGTGCTGGAGGCCTCACGGCTTCCAGCACTACACCATTTAAGCCGCATTCTGCCTTCTCTACGTATACGGTTTGTACACTGGGACAGCGGGATTAGGATGTCAGCGGTGTTTACGAAGCCAATGAAGCCGTAAAGATCCGACGCCAAAAGAACCTCAGAACGGCGGCTCTGAACTTCGAATTTCTCCCTATATAAACACTCAATGAAATCACTCCGAAAAGCCGAAAAGCCGACAAAAGCACTACAAACACCCAGCGAGAGCCCCAACTAAAAACAGCCCCATGGAAACCGGGGCCCCCTGCGCTGCACCACAGTGATGCCGCAGTCAAGGACCTGCCTCTGTGATTGCTTCTCCGCCTTCTCAAACCTCAGTTCGAAGCCCTTCTTGGAACCCAGGGGCTACAAACGACGTCGAAGGAGAGGGAAGGGGTCTGTTTCTTGGGACTTCTGGCGGGGTGGGGCCTTTGTTTTGTGGGACTTCGGGGAGCTTTACTTCGTGCCTGGAGAGAGGGGGTCCAGAACCCAGTCGGGCCCGGGTCCCCATCAGTTCCGAGATCCTGAAACAAGAGCTTGGAGAAGAGGTGCATGCGGATATCATCTCGCATCGTGGCCGCCTCATCCAGCTCCTGTTCAGCTGACAACTCGGTTGCAAGAGAAGTGGAAGGCCGTGCCCGGAGAAAGGGATCGCAAATACTCAAGTACGTGCAGTGCTGATACCCTCACCTTGTGACCGCCTAATTACTGCGGTTGCATAGAACGGGGCTGGCTGGGAGTTCTCCCTGATGCGATCTACAGCCCGAAGTATGAGTACGTGTGGCTTCGTCAGAAACCGAATGTGTGACGATAACGTTAGGCCATCAGACGAGATCGAAGCGTCGTAAGCAGCCTTCGCCAGCTCCCGCGCCAGCCGAGTCATTGAGGCATTCGAGAAGCGCAACAGTCGCCTTGCTGGGAGGAATTTGGGCTTTCGACTCTCACACTCGAGCAAGGCCGGCAAGGATTCGCGGCTTCGGGTCCATGCATCACTTCCTCGCATTCCTTTCACTCGCACAGCCAGCAAAAACTGGATCAACACCATGCTACCCAGCTGATCACGTACCCACGAGCACCAGGCAAGCTCAGACATCACCAAGCACGAACAACCTTTACCGCACTGGTACTCAACCACAAGACCACCCAATGCTCTCCACAAGTAAAAAACAAGCGTGTGCTCCAGCCGCACTGTTGTGGCGACTACCAGCCAAGCCTTTGCTGCCATCCGAAGACCTATAGTAGAGTACCCAACACACTACTCAAATCTACTCAAGGTTGCCTCCGCCAACGCCAAACGCTCTACTCCAACTTCATCGCAGCTGCGAGGAACTGTGCTTCAGAAGTGCTACGGCATGGCAAGAAAATATGCAATCCTCTAAGCTGCGAGTATTCTGACCGCCTCACAAGAGAGGAGATCGCTTTTTCATGTCCTCTGCGTCTCAGGCTGTGTGGCTTGCTCCTCAGGTTTACGAGTCATAGAAACGGCGACCAGCATCCACAGGAAGCCTCATGTGCAGAAACCGCCCTCCGTGGCCAACTTGGCCGTCTCAGAGGCAAGTATAAGTAATTAGAGCAAAGTTCAGGGAAGGCCGTTGTTGATGTTCTGCTGAGTGATGAAGACAGGCTTTGTCATGGTAGCTTCACTGTATGGATGTTCTGCGGCCTTCATTCGAAAACAGCTTCGAGCTTAGGTGTTCTACCTTTTTTTTGCCTCCCGCCTGGCTAGGACGAACCTACGATGCAGGGTACACTCATGGTATCACACACAGAAAACTATACATATGTCAGTCTGCTCATCACTTTCGGACGGCAGTCTATCGTGTTGACTTTGCAATCCTGACAAAAGGCAGCTCAGACAGCGAAGTATATGTTGCACACACTCCGCATTATCGACATGCAACTTGACTCAACTGTTCGCGGATTCACACGTTGTTGATTTAGTCCCTGTCCGTCTCCACTGTTTTCCAGTTCCTTGAATCCCCCTCACACATTGGGTTTGCCACGCCATTGCGGCCCTTACATGCATTCTCCGCAGCGTTGTCTCCCGACAGTCACCATTCACCATTGATAACAACATGCAGTCGCATGCAATCGCATTCCATGCAGACACTTCTGTCGTCACAGCGCCAAATCCACTGGAGCATGCAGGGGTCCACATTGCACCATCATCCACATTGCGGCACATTGCGCCATGCAGCCGAACAAGGATGCTGCTATCCTCGCCAGAAAGTATGAATGTATGAATTCCAAACTTGAGTTTCAGCTTGTTCACGCATGCAGCAGTGCCCATGCAGAGGCATTCGTGAATTCCGGTCCAGATTGTCCGCGCTGTTCGTCCACAGTGTCCAGTGGCACACATGAATTCCAAGTATGAATTCACCAGTCGCACACGTCCCTCACGAAGCAATGCAATCTGGCTGTATGCAAAGGCAATCTCCCATGTTGAATTCCAGGATTGACGAATTCGCGAATTGATCCTCCCACACTTTCAGAGCGCGCTTGCCAGCACCATGCATCAGCCAGAATATGCCTCACAGACAACGCACGTCAGCGACGTCCCACCGGACGGTCGCCCGACGTGGCAAGTGCAGATATGAGTTGTTCCGCAGTCGAGCCATGGCATTGGTCACATATTTTCGCCCAAGCAAGCCCTGAAGACACCGAAGGCACAAAGGGGGTCCCTGAATATATAAGGCCCATAGCTCCTGGGAGCAGCACCCAATATACCCCGTATAACCCAAAGGGAGAGCAGGAAGACAGGGAGGGAGGACGGGACTGTAAGAGACAGACCATGTGCATGTGCAAGTAACTGCAAGCATCGGTCCAGGGGCGGTACATGACTGTTTTATATTTTTATAGGTTTTTTCAGGCTTCCGTAGAGTATTGCGCCACACCAGGACAATGATTGCTGTTACTCTTGCATGCTTCTTTGTCTTCTCTCTCTTTACTCCTCATGAGCTCTCATCTTCTTGTTCGCTTGGAGCCTTGTGGATCTGTTTTTGGTTCACCGATCCCATTCCAAACTCCCGAATGCTCCTCTGTAGATTAAAGCGCAACTTCCACCGATCCAGTTCGGGGGCTCCTGGCACCGGAAACTGCCACACCTTCTTAAGCAAGGAGCGGTTGGTCTCGTCGAGGGCTCGGGTATGTATGGTATTAAAAGCAATGAGGACAACTCTCACTTGTCCCTTCCACGGGGTACAAGCATGTAGGTGGCTTCTACTCGGGAACAGGATAGGACGATGTTGAATCTCAATGATGTTGCCCCATAGTGTTCTTCCAAGGTGGCAGATGGGGTCTGTTCCATTTCTATCCTGAATCCAAAGGTCACCTCCGTCCTGCACTGTGAGGCATGTGAGGAATGAGAGCCCATCGTAGTTATTGAGGTCTCGATGTGGGCCTTTATGACCATTAGCTATGATGGCAATGGTGGTGAACTGAAAATTCGGGGCCCACGAGGTGATGAAACGAACAAGGGCTTTGGTGGTCCTACTGAGCTCAAAAGTCGCATGTGTGATTTGGTTAGGGCTACGAGGACTTTGACCTAGTACAATGTAGGACATTTCACGTTGGGGCTGGTCAGGTAGCTTCGGGGGCTGCAGTGAGGGCTTCGGGCGGAGGCGCTTGGCTTTGGGGATGAGAGTCCACAGTGTTAGGACATCAGAATGCAGTACAGTTTGTTGGGATGGGAGGTTCAGGAGTTCATTCGCAGCGCTCTCAACATTGCCGCATTGGTATGCTGTTGCCAGTACAGGCGGTGGTACCGGGATGCATGGGTTTGAAGCCTCGGGGTTCAGCTTAAGACGTTTCACGCGGGGAGCACTTGTTTTGGTTGGTTCTTCGTAGCAAGGTACGTGGCAGGGCTCAGGACTCGATGGAGGCTGCATGGATCTTACCCAGCCCTGCTTGAAAGGTATCCCCAAAAGGAAAACAACCCCACTTCAAAGTTCGCTCTGAGCCGCATCTTGTACGCACTGCAGGTATTGATAACAGGACATCGGTGTGACATGGAGTTCGCACGCAGAAAGACTCACCACTGATCGCTCCCCATGGTACTGCTTCATTTTAGTCGGCGAAGCCGGGTCATCGAGCTCGCGCGTCGTGAGCACACAGCATGTTGCAGCGCAAAGCAATTCATGTATTCACAAACGAATTCAAAATGCAAAGGTCAGCGTGTCATGCAAGCGTGTTGTGCATCACATCGTCGTACCATGCAGAATATCGTGGTGCCAGAGTGAAACCGTGCAAGGATCATGCCAAAGTCAGAATTCGGTACATGCACATGCTGCTTAAATTCACATGCTGTTCACAGGTGCTCAAGAAGAGTGCAATTCCAGCCTCGCATCTTGTTATGGGCAGGTGAGGTACAACACAGACCGTGATGAGGTACGTAGTAAGAGGGATGGTATGCGAGCCCTTTCATCGCTGGAAAATGTAATGCCCCTGCCTTTGCAGGGCATCTTGTTGCTGGGCCGTTAAAATGAGTGGGGCCCCTTGACCTGGTGGCGGTGCTACGAAGAACGGCGGGGCCGCACTCAGGATAATCGGCGGTGTGCTCGAGGACGATGCCGGTACTGCTTCCTGAAGCCGAATTGTCTCCGGCGGGGTGCTGTGCTCGGTGTTGGTCGCAGCAGTGGAGCTTCCCGTCTGGGTCGGCGGTTTATGCGCCGGCAGTTTGGGGAGCCGTTCTGTGACCTTCTCGTCCAGCTCTTGCACTCGGATGTTGATGTCCTGGACATTTCGACAGATATCCGTCAGCCAACTCCAGACCTGGTCCAGAGTTTCCTTCAGCTCTGTTGCCAAGTGCTCCGTGACCCCGAGGTGTCTCATCATGGGGTCGATCGGCAGGTCATCGATCCGTCGCCTGATTCCATCGCACTCCTTTGCCAGTTCGGGCAGGGCTTGTTGTATTTTGTCTGAGCCTTCTTTGGTGCTCCGGATGAGGGGGATCGCCGAAGTGAGATAGCTCTTGATCTGGCCATTCTCAGTGAACCACAAGTTGTGGTTCTTTTCTGTCTTCTGATCCAGCTTTGTGAACCCCACATGATTTTCGTTCGAAATCTTCTGGAGGCTCCCAGAGAGGGCGTCAACCAGACGGTCCAAAGCTATCAGCTTGTCCGACAGCTCTGTTGTCCGGTCGCAGATCTGTCTGGTTGCAGCTTGCTGGTCTTGTAACACTTCACGCACCTGAGCCAGGCTTCCATCTTGCAGTGTTTCCAGGACCTTCTGCTGTTTGGCCACATCATCCAAGAGGTCCTTGCGCAGAATCACAGCTTTGCGAGTCTCATTTGACTCTTGAGTCAGAAGATCACGAAGCTGTTTTAGCTGCGATCCATCTAGTGTCACCTGTTGAGCACCTGACTTGACCGCTGCGTGCAGGACTTGTAAGTTGTCCACCAGGTGCTCCTTTTGGGCATTGGCGAACTGCTCAAGCTTCTCATCAACCAAAGAGTTGATCCGTGAGAAGGCTTCGTCTTGCATGCGCTCCATTGCGCTGTGCCAGGCAGGGGGTTGCTTCCACCACACCTTAGCATAGTTCATCGCCCGTCTGCCATGCTTCCCGAGTGCAAAAAGCACTGGAGTCAAAAGCAGCACTGCGATCGTCCACATGAGCGTCGTGTCCACTGGCTGAGGCATGAGCGCGACAGGAAAGCTACAGTGCTTAGATGACTTCGCGTGTCACTCGAGACAAAATTTACTGATCATGTTAGCATGGAATTTTGGGCCGTCCTGCCCCCCCCCCCCGCACAGTTAAACTCAACTGGTTTGTTGTCAGTTGTGTTGTGCTGCAATCCAGTTGTGTATCGGTGGGGCGGGGTGAGAAGCAGGGAGTATGTGTGCCTGTTTGTAGTCAGCAGTGCGGTAGGTAATTTTGTAATGTGAGAAGTACAAGGCTTGTTTGGCTCCTACA